TGGAATATACCCTTGCAATAGACATTGAGCTTGTTTTGGAGAGCACCCCTATTCCGGGTGGATGAGGGAGTTTGCATGGGGCACATTCCTCTGAAAGGAAGAGCGTCTATTCAAATCCTTCCAACCAGTCCAAGTCAGCACGAAGACTGGTGCGAAGACTGGCGCGACAGATGGCTGATTTCCCCAACGAAATTCCTGAAGAGGCACGGATGGTTGGGGTGTCTCCCCTGCAACTTAAAATGGACCTACAAAAAGGGTTCGCTCCACGTAAATATGTTGCATTTGCGAGTTCCATGTTGATCTGCAAGGCAAGGTCCTTGATTCAGGGGCACGACATGAGGGACCTTTGCCCTCACCAGGGTGCGCTCAGGGTGTTTGAGGACTGTTTCTGGTTCGGCTTATCCCTTGAGTTTTATGCCAAACTCGCTTGGATAGGGGCCTTAGGGGCCATAGACTTGATTTTTAACAACAGATCAGTCCATTGCTGAGTGGCCTGACTGCATTTGGGACCATGAATCCGCAGTTGCAGAGGGCTCCGGAAGCCCGGCGGCACCGAGGCGACGCAATGATGCCAGCGAGAGGAGCTTCCTGGGTGCCCCAGGGGGAAGCAGTCCCCAAAATCTGCGCAACTTTCTGATTCCGAATTCCAGTATTGCAGGCAGCCAGGAAGACCGATTATATAGTTCCTTGATTGGACCCCTTTATCATTGCGAAAGCACACAGTTCGAGGAGATCCCTTTACTCGCAAAAAGGGGTGCCAAGATTAAGCCGTACGAGCAAGGATAAGCCGCTTGGCAGGTGGTGGCAGGTGTAGCGACGACTGTGCACACACACACACACGCACACTCAAGTTCTCCTGGCGACATACAGGAACCATGATGAAGGTGTGGTTTTCCAGATGACATGGTGTCATGTTCGTACAGTTGGCATTGGATCGTATGCAGTTGTTTGTGTGTCGAGTCTCAAGTGTTGGACGAGAGTTGTCTGTGTGGTGTATTGCGGGCGTTCCTGTACTTGCGTGTGCGGGTGCGGTTGCCAGTTATGCGATGCCTCTATGCAATTTCCGCTCAGCTCTTGAGGTAGCCAGAATCTTCCAGTATGGTGCCATGGGTCGCTTTATCACGGAATGGAGAGGTCCGATGCCTCTCTTATCCTAGGCCTCATTTGGGGCTCAACCTAGGCGTAAACGGCCATGACCCACTCCCCCCCCTTTGTGCGGATTTCTGAGTTAAGCAAGCCTCGCCGCCATGCCCTTGGTCCAGGAGATGGCCGGCTGGCCTGATGGCGGCATCCTCGACGAGAGTTGCGAAATCGGACCTGGACTGGACCATTGCTTCAAATAACGAGCTCTAGGGGTTCGAATGTGGATGTTCCCTTGGTTCACGGGCTAGGTCAGCGACAAGTTGGTGCATATGCAATGGGTGACACGCCCACTAGTCGGTGTTGCCGTGACCTTGCAGAGCCGGCTTGGGTGCAAGGATCACGACGCTTCATCGGAGACTCTGACAGCCATTCGCCATGGTCATCTTTCGCCCAGACATTCCGACCCTGGAGTTCTGCTGAAGGTGCTATTTCTCCTCAGGCAACACTACATCAACGCAGCAGGGTCTAGTCCCATCTCTATAGGGATATTCGAACTTAAGGGATTGCGATTCTTGCGGGAACGTGATCTGCGCGGTGCAGTCCCAGACTGGCTTCGTGTCAACACCAGAGGTTGCTTAGGATTCGCCCCCGCTCAAGGGGCGTCTGTTTTCGTTTGCAGTTCCTGCACGTTTGAAATGGGTTCGTGGGTTTTCCCACACGTGCGCACCGCTGAAAAAAGGTTGTTTTTGCACACTTCACAGCCCCAGTTTGTCTCACGTACGCGCACAACGCTTACTCATTGTGGTGCCCAACTTGTTAAAGTCATTGACCTGCCCATGCAGTGTTCGACACTGCCAGGACCAAAAGTAATCCCACACCCCCATGTCTGCATGGAGCGCACGCTTTTCGGGATCCAGCTTTGGAGCCTTCGCAACGCTGATCCGCTGTTTGCACGCCAGCAAGCACTTCTCAATTTGACAAATTTGCAGGTTGCGCCTTGTGCGATTTGAAGATGTGCTAGGGAAAGCGGAGCTCGGACCGTGCATACGATGTTTCTCCTGGAAGTGAGGCATGTTGTCTCTATCAAGTTTCACTGAAGCTGACACTGCGAGCGTTCCAGACTTCACCGTAGAAAACAGCTATCAAACTGCTGGGCCCGGTGGCTCACTTGTACTCAGATTTCCTCATATCTTGCCGAGAGGGAACACATGTGCAAACGTACTGGCAAGTCCTGGCGCGGATGGCTTAGAGAAAACCATGTTTGCCCCAGACATTCTGCCAGCAAGCCAAGAAGAAACACTTTACACGTTGAAAGAGCCCTCCCACAAAGTCCTTTGCGCCGTGCACAAGCGCGAGCTGTGCACCTACGGCAGCCTCTGCAACCGCTGGCGGTTCTTGGCTTTGAACATTCAAGTCTTCGTGGCGGGGCCTCTGTGGCGGATCAGAGCTGCACAAGTACACCATTCCCTGCAGCTCAGCGAAGTGCTGCGAACCCGGGCCATAGTCCGGAAAAGGAGTGGGCTTCACTACCTTCTGACATGACCCTAAAAGACTGCACATGAAAGTGATGCCGAAACCCCCAACCAAAAACCATGCTAATTACAGGCCCCCCTGCATGGGGGTGATGCCGTTAATGACTCTAAATAATACTGTAATATCATGTTGGTAACTTTTGCTGCTTCCCTTGGATCCGTCTAACATGCTTGGCAATGTGGTTTCTTTCCCTCTTTGTAACCATTGGTTCCTTGGGATTCCTCCAGATATCTCAAGCAATTTGGGGGTTCCTCGTGCCGCCTTCGGACTGTCTGGTGACCAGCCGGAGCTTCCACCTCGCGCCCAGGCCGAAGCCGAAGTCGCAGGCGGATGCAGCCCTGTGGCGGAAAGCTGGAACCTCGAGGAAACCAAGAGAACCTCCCGTTGAGAGGAGCCATAGGAAACCCCCCCGTTTTGCGGTTCCTGCGGTTCCTCCGGTTCCTCCAGTTGGCTCCTCCAGTTCCTCCGGTTGGTTCCTCCGGTTCCTTAAAGACATACTTTTTGGGTTCCTCGTGATACAAATGCCTGGTGATTTTCAGTTATCACTGTCGTGACCAGCGTATGTCTCCGTGAGCTTTGTGTCACTGGTGAACTGCAAAATGTGGAATCTGGAGTCGGCTGCTAGGCTGGTGCCGTGTTGAGATTCTTCAGTCATGATTTTCAGGGGTACGGTGCCGGTCCTATTCGAGGTTGTCCATCTTTGCTCCATGGCGTGTGAGAGTACATGCAAGGCGCCCCATTGACACCAGGAAAACCATGTTCGAGAGCCCATTTGGCCATGTGCCGCTTATGTTTTTTACCGGGGGAAGCGTCAAGTTGTTCGGGGCTTTGTTCAAGGATTCCAGGTAAACAACTTTGGACTGTATAGAGTCTCAATGATGATTCAGACAGTTGCAAACTGGTTCTGCGTGGATTACTCCAATTTACTCAGATTAAATTACCTTTTCGAGGTAGCTTTTCACATTGGCACCATGAAAACTTTCGCGCCCAATTGTAGTGTCAACCCACATCAATTACAAATGTAACTAGTTTCACTCTCTTGGATGACCTCCGGCAAGCAACTCTATGCCGTTCTTCAGGTCGGGGGAGAGAGAGTCTCAGAGTTGCAAACGCTTCAAGCCGGTGATTTTGGATCTAGGTAGATGTCAAAACAACATCAGGTTTTCCTTTGGCCTGCGGCACAGCGCCTCAGGGTCTTGCCCCTTGCCACCCCTCCGGCAGGCTTGGAATTGGTGCGCGGCGAGACAGTTGCCGCTTGTCCTGAGGGCCGAGGTCAAGTGGCCAAACGCGCACTTCGTTTGTTGCACTTGGTATTCTGCCAGCTTATTGCGCACCGCTCTGGCCTTGTTTGGGCTTTGGTTTGGGCTTACAGCTATACCTGCCAGGTTTTGCTTTGCACAGTGTCATTGGCCGACCGACTGAAACCCACGCCCTCGCAACATATCGGAGGTTTGCATGCCCTTCCCCAACTCGGCTCTTGCGGTGTGCACCAAGTATCACCAAGTGTGTTTGTGCCTTACCTCAATCATTCAATCATCCTCATGCGTTTGTGCGGTGAGCCTCCAAAAGAAAAGTAGCCCAACCCAGGAACCTTAGGTTCCATGTTGAGAGAGAGCTTGACCTCCGCTAGCAATCGCCCGAGCATCAGCTGATCAGTGCAGCCTCAAAGAGCAATCGGAGCTCCAGTGTGGACATGTGATGTTATTGTGTTGCCGCCTTAACTTTTGAACGTGAAAGAGTCGTCAGGATGTCAGCCCCATCTAGGCGAGCCCTTTGTTTGGTGTCCAAGGACTTCAGAGACAACCCAATAACAGGCTTTATGATAAACCCATAGACAGCACATCATTTGGCAGAGGCTGACACAGACGCCAAGAACGTCCTGTTGAGACGCTGGGGCCTCAGGGTGTCGCGAGTGGAACTCCGAACAAGTGTTTTCTGAACCCCACAGCCGCCTTAACAAAAGCGGGGCGAACCACGACACAGGTGCTTGAAGCTGTTATGCTCTGTTTGCTGCGTCGTTGACCAGATGCAAACTGGTTGGAAGTGGTTGCATTCGCGTCAAAACAGCAACTCCCAGTAAAGCCATGGCAAGAAGCACACAAACGAAGCGCACCAGCCATTACTGCCAATTAGCAGTGATCAAAATCCTATGATTAAACTTTGTCTTGGGGGGGGGAGGGGAAAAATTGGGATTCTGCTGAAGGAATGATTCAGGGCGTGGAAGGTTCCGAGCATATTGTAAAGCTTGTCGCCGCGGACTGCGGAAGCTTCACCTCTTCAATTGCGCCAAACGAGTCACTAGCTGCTCTACTTCATAGGCAATGTAGCTCCTTATGATTCAGCGAACAACCAAACAGTGACAATTAAGGTGTCTGGAATCACATGGCTAGCATGTTCAGCTGAGGATACCATGAAGCATGGTTCAAGACATAATCCCCATGTACCTCTTGTATCCACCAAAGGGTCCATTTCCAATTTGCTTTTATTGCCACCTGGGTACGCGTCAAAAATCACGGGACCCAACAATGATGCTTTTCCTGCAAAGGGTACCCTCACACCACCCACCCAGAGCCATTTCCAAGATGACAGCGACGAGGTGGAGGTGCAGAAGGGGGAGGGATGCGCCCAATGGGGTCAAAGGCTATCTGCGATGAAATTTCGCAGCAGTCCCTATGTTTCCCTGTTCGATGTTTGAAAGGGGTGCGAGCAAGGATGGGGATGGTTTGAAGCATCACGTTTGAGGATAATTATTGGAACCGTTTTGACAGCTTGCAGAAGGATTTGGCCGAATTTGTGGTGGTCTTTCGAGAAGGATCATGGATCAGGATTGGCCAATCCTCCATTGATGGGAAGGCACTACAGCGAAAAAGATGATGAGAAGCCAGAAGTAGCCAGCACAGGCAAACAATTTCACCTTCTGTCAAGGTTTACCCACGATTCATCGACTGCATTTGATAAAACTGGCTTTCCCAAGATCTGGTTGAGGGGGGATTATGAAGACCAAACCAGCATGACCTACTAAGAAGAGTCAGTGGAATCAATGGACAAAGCCAATTGTGCCTTGGGTGACAATACTGGAAGGGCCCTGGTTGCTTGCATAGGGATCCTAAATTATCCACATTGCACAACTTAGACCTGGTTGCTCCATTGAGTCTTTGCCTTGCGCATGAGCCCTAAAACATGAGCTCTTTTAGATGATAGATGTGAATCAAGATCAAGAAAATATGCCAGGGTTGCTGGGGGGATTCACAGCCTTTCCACACCCTAGGACAAGCCCCTGTCAGTAGCTTGTTCTGGGCTTTCCATGCGACCTACAACGGGCACTGGACACTGGGCTAGTCGGTTCTGCCGAAGCTGATACTGCCCTGTACAGCTTGGGGGATGAAGTAGTGTGTTTGTTTGTGTGTGCGTGCGTTTTGAATGTGCAACATATATATATATATATGTACGTATATATATATATATGTATATATATGTATGTATATATATATATACATATATATATATATATACATATATATATATATACATATATATATATATATATGTATATATATATGTATATATATATGTATATATATATATATACATATGCAGTGCTGGTTCCTTCAGATGGATTGAACATTCGTCTGTCTATCTCTGCATAGTGTCGTTTAATCTGCATTACATACTTTACTTCTGGTTGTTTTGGTGGCCGAACAAGTTCTCTCTCTCTCTCTCTCCCTCCTGTTTTGGTAGCCCAAAGTGGGAGGCATGTTTTTCTCCATTTGGCACACAACCCCTGGGGCGCCCATGACGGAACCGCAGGGCAAAGCTGACGAGCAAACCTCCACCACGGGTGCCAGATCGCGAGGCGGACCGAAGGTCACTGACCCGCCTGGGTTGCCCCTTTCTTTGTTCAGCTTTTGCTTGAGTGGGGGAAGGTCCTGAGAAAAACAACTACCCCAAAAAGATGCTTTCTGTTGTTCCAAGAGACTGCACGATATGTGTGTCTTTGCTGCGCAAGGACAAGTTGCATCCTTGGCATTGGGGTTTAGCCTGTGCTTTGGCTCTAAACATGATGTTCAAACCTGTAGTTCTCCGGGCGTCAACCACACGTTTCTCCAGACACAAGCATTTTCCCAACATAGGTTTGTGTCTTCTTGAGGGCACCCCTTGGTTGGGTTGGCCTAGAGGAAGCCAGACGGAAACATGGTTGCCTTGGGAACCTGGTCCCTCCAAACCGGTCGCTCCAAACGACCGCCGGCCAGCCCTACGTCGGATCCTCACGAAGTTGCCAGAGGAGAGGAGCAAAGAGGAAGTGGAGGAGGCGCTTTCTGAGTCACGGCCCTGGGGGTCCTTTGATCACTTGGGCTTCCCAAGTCCGTGTTTTGTTTGGAGTCGGTACCTTATTTTGGGGGTTGGACTGCGGCGAAAAAAGGGAAGACGTCGTTTGCTAAGTCGAGACACACCCGTGTGTCCATTTTAATCTTGCGGGCCAGATCAAGAGAAGTGTCCTTTTGGTGCAGTGATGTTTCAAGAAGAAGGGTAGGGAACCCTGGAGAATCACCGGACCAAGAAAGACGTGTTTGGCTGATGTGGTGATTGCCAATTGGCACGTAATTATGCTGGGGGTTTGCTGGGGGCCTTGAAGCGCTTAACTCCTCCCAGACCATCTGGCAAGCTGCTTGGATTTCTTGGGAAAGGCAGGGGCTCCCTGTTGGGTGGGGCATGGCAGCGTTACGTCCAGCCCAACCCCGAGCCAACCAGCTGAGAAGCAAAAACAACCGCCAAGCAGCCAACCAACCAACCAGCCAGCCAACCAACCCAACCAAACAACCAACCAACCAGCCAGCCGCTTGCCACATCAGTTACTTGGCCAGCCAGCTAGTTACTAGCTGGCTGGCCAAGTAGCTGATGTGCCAAGTCATGAAAGAGCTAACGAGCTTACAATATGTAAATAGCCAAAACAAATATGACGCAACAACTAACCAACTACTTGATCTGGCTGCCATGACAATAAATGGCAGCCAAATTGGCAACCGGTCACCAAGGTAAAATGCAGCATTCACCAATACGTTCCGCAGTAGCTAGCCAACTTACAAACTGCCAGAGCAGGATGGGCAACCAAATCAAGACCACAATTCAGTACAGACTCGGCGAGTTGGACACCGCCTTTAAGAAACAGGGTGTCAGGTTGATGCCATCATGCATACATTATCAATGCAAGTCGGACACTACAGTTTCCACGGTAGGTGACCAAGCTAGAAACGGCGTTTCAAGAAACCCCAAAGTTATGCTCGCAAGCCAAGTTGGACGTCGCCACTCGAGTTTCCAAGCTGGAGCCCACGCATTTAGCAACAGATAACCAACCCAGCCACCGTTCGGTCAGGCTATGAAAACCATTCAAACCAAGTCGTAGGGTCATCAAACAGGTAGCCGAGTTGTAAGTTGCAATTCAAAGCTCGGCAATCCCGCACACCACCACTCGACAGAATATATACACGTTGGAAGCCGCCATTTAAACACTTTGTGTACTCAACACAGCTATGTGCGACATACAGTCTACTGCCAGGCTGTCAACCACTGATCATCCACCGGCTGTTTGCAGGTTTATCGCGCTGTTCGGGAGGGTACGTACCTGATTTGTCCATTGTATATTGTCGGCATTGCGCCGGACTTCGGCTTTTGTTTTGACCAGTAGACAAATAGAGAGGTAAACATCATTGGCCCCTGGTGGTTGCAACTCCAGTAACAAACACGAACGTGTACGGACTTCTTCTTGCAAGCTACTTTCCTGTGCGCTTCCATGTTTCCTGGGAGGGTGGAGATTTTGCGATCCAGGAGAAACTGCCCCCCCTTTGTCAGGAGCCCTTGCCAGATAGAAAATCACCTGTACCAGCGGATGTAGAGGGTCTCCATGTAAATCTGGCGTTTTGGACGTATCCTCGATGAACCTGCTTTATTTCCTCCAAATCGACGCTTCAACCGGCAATGCAGGTCTTTGTGGCCATGGAGAAGATGTCGGAAGCGCACCACTCTCAGGACAGCAAAAAGGCCATCAGGTGTCCTTAGACCCCTGTCGAAAGGGGGAGGGTTGGCAAAGTTGCGGCACAAGGCGCCTCTGGGATTGAAGAAGAGGCTATATGTTTGACAACCCTCACAACAGCAGTCCCTGTACTTATGCCCCCCATTGCCCCCCCGTTGAAATTGGCAGTTTGGCACTTTGAAAGGATTTCCCCTCAACTGGTGCAATGTTTTGCTGGAAAACATGATGATCCCAATTCGATCCGGGTCTTCATGGCCGTGAGGCTGAACTCGGAACCTTAGGCAAGAAGTCAAATGGAAAACAGTAGATGCTACCAACTTGTTGTTTCCCCAGCTGGAAAGCTTTAGGGTCCCTGCCGAGATAGGCTCCGGAGTGATTCAGAGCGGCTCCGGGTTGGGGTTCCAAAGGGTTCCGGACGTTGCTGTTGGACTGGGCTTGGTTGTTTCCGAAGGTTGGTGTTTAAACCACACTGAGCAAGCCTGAGTTTACATGGCCATGATAAAGAAAGGGGTGGTCGCAACCGCAGGGGGGCTTTGTCCTCACCCTTAATGTGTTCGCTTCCTGTCTCAAGCATCCCTTATTTCATTGTGCCAGAACAACGGAGGGTTCCCCACGAACATCACCATAGCCCATAGCATTGATTCTAACACGCATGCAGGCAATGGACAGCATCACTCCATGGTTGATTTGGGGAAGATCTGACCACCCAAGGTTCTCATGTTCCGATTGGCCATACAGCCAGCTTCAACCCTACCTCCGTGTGCTGGGCTGATGTTTCTGCTTTTTCCGGGTCATCCCGAGCTGCTGGCTGTTGGATTTCCTTGCTGTCTCAATGCAGATTCGCTGGGAAACTTGGTTTGTTGTTTTGCGTTGGGTCGTGGAATGAATCAGTACTCCATTTGTTCCAGGTTTCTGGAACAAGCATTCAAGAAGGCTCATAGTGCTGCTCAGCGTGAAGTCGAACCGTAGCAATCAGCATTCCTGGTTGATGCGCCCCGTAAAAGGTTTGTGCAGCATGCGACAGCCCTGGCTTTGGGGTGGCCCTGGGAAGGGGCATGGATTTTTGCTGGTGGTGATATTCGTCGGGCTTTGCTCAGGTTCCTGACCAACCTGGACAAGCCCGTGAAGCGAGCAATCTGTCTGACACCGAGTCTCGAGCTGTGCAAGGGTGAAGTCACAAGATTGAAGCTGCGACCTGGCCCCTGATCAAGTTTCGTTTCCTGGGGGCCTCACCTAGATCAGGGGTGGCAAGCTTCTTTCAAGTGGTTCGCAAGAGCAACCGCTAGGATTGGTACGCTCATCCGGACTAGTGCGAACATGGCAGATATGTTTGCACAAGTCCAAGATTTCTTTCTGCAAGCTATGACTGTTGTCCAGATGCCAAGCTAGCATGTTTTCTGTGTGCAGGCAGGCAGGAACACCTCCAAAACGAGATGGGATCCACACAACACATTAATAATGTGACATATTCACAAGTGCAGCGTGTTTGCATGCTGGGAATGGGGTTTGGAGCCACTTAGTCTTAGCACACAATCCATGTGGACTCATTGCAGACTGAACCGGCTCAATTTTGGCCGGAGCTAGAGATGCTGGGGTGAGCGCGTTTGGAAGGATGCTGCTACCGTACGGTCCTGTGCTCACAAAGAAGTAGAGCACCTGTAACATGGAGATCAGAACGAGTTCGTCCCTGAAGAAGCGCGTCCAAGACAAGACCCGTCCATGATGTTGCCATGCACGAGGTAAGCCAACACACGTAATTACACAAAAGCACAGTGGTCCTTTTCCTGGCCGCGCGCTTGCTGTGTGACTTTCCACGCCCCGAGTTTGTTCTCGAGCCTCAGCAGTTCTGTGTCCTGCTGTTGCGGTGCCTTGGCATGCCTTTTCCCTCCACAGCTGTGCAGTGCCGATGCCAGCACGCCCTTGATATGCAGGAGTCCACCAGGCAGCTTGCCCCAGAGCCCGAGTGCTGTGCGGTTGGGGACCTTCAGGGTCTGCAGGCAGGCGCAACCGTTAGCGCACGCATCTGCCCCGAGACTTCAACATAGGGGCTCGGGCGGATGAGTGCTGGGGGCTCGCAGCTCGCAGTTGAGACACCATTGGCGCCTGCTTTGCCGGTACCAACACCGTGCCGAGGGAGCGGCTCTTCCTGTCGCCCGCCGAGCCAACGACTGCGAGCGGTGACATTTTTGGCGTCTTCAGCGCGCTCAGGGGGATTTTGCTTGCTCTGCTGGTTCACAGCGTCCCCGCGGACTTGCAGAGTGTTCCCGTTCGCTTGCGTATGGTAGGGCGGAGTGCGCTTCAAAATCCCGGCGTGCACAGGGGTCCCCTCAAGCAGGGTTCTATGGGGACTGGGAACAACAACAACTCCTGCTCAGCTTCATCCTCCGACTCAAAGTGGCTCCAACAATTCAGCCATTGTCTCGCAAACACGCGCAGCATGGGAAAATGATGTCAAGGACTTCAACAGGGTGACGGGCTGGAGAACGAAGTTGGAACGCCCGGCCAGAAGATATGTGGGAAACAACTGCCGTAGGTCGTTTGTGGAACTGTTGGGAAATATCCGAGCAGAAGCGTTGGAAAGGGACGAGCCGTTGTCAACCGATGCGACCCGCAATGTAGTACACGGGTAGGAAGGATGTGTTCACCCGTTGCTCCTGTCATACGTCTCCTCTATGTTTTCCATGTTTGCCTGCTTACCATCGCTCCCTGTGTACTGTTGATGGACAAAATCCACTTCGCGCCTGTTAGTGGGTCGTTTATCTGAGTACTCGTGACTCAGAGGGTCCAACCCATCCAAACAGTTGCAGGATTGTGGTCATCCTCAGCAGTCAAGGTTCCCTAAGCTTGCTCCAATAAATGGTTTCCAACTTGCACCAAGTGTTAGAACGCATCCCGCGGGTCACTTCAAGTCTTGTAGGGAATGGGTTGTAGCTATGTTCACGCGCTTACCATGCCCATGCCCGCCTTCGATCGGTGCGTGCTTGCCGTTTGTTTCCATCTTCAGGCGAACGCCTTCAATGGGAGGCGTGCCGATTTCCGCTGGGAAGCGTGCCATTTACCCTCTGCTACACGGGTGTGCGTTTGTTGAGCCATTGTTGAGGGCACAACTTTCGCCAGCCGCGCTAGTGGAAGTTCTCCAAGTTTTAGCTTCCTTCAAGGTTTGAGCTTTCCACTTTTTGCAGCTAGAGAATCTTCCGCATATTAGGGCCTGGTCCAAGTTTTATTATCTTGGCAACCCCCTGGGTCGTATGTGTCGCTGTTGGGCTGGCCAGCTTTCGTTCATTTGCGTCTCAAGTTACCTTGATTCCATGAAAAACCAACGGAACAGCCACCATTTTTGGTGGTACCCCCTACTTCGGCAAATACCACCATTATAAATACTGGCATCACTGTTCAAAGCAAGGGCGCCAAGCCCTTTTTGCAAAGGATTGCAGAGGGCACCATTAAGCCAGGATCATGAAGGCGGATCTCAGGATCACGACGTAGCACACACAGATTTCCGCCCCCAATAATTCACAGGTGGCACCTTTGAACCTTTAGAAGAGACAAGCAGCCGCTCCTTTCCGCTGGCTCGATGTTTGCCTCCAGGAATTGTTCCACTGATCTGTGTTTTTCAGGCTACCTTTTTGGAAGAATGAATGGCCCATATGCTCTGCTCCCCATTAATACACGCACCCTATTCATGAATACTAGTCTTCCAAGAGCACGAATCGCCCAATAAAAAACCAATTTTAAACCTGCAGTTTGCCCACCGGCCCCCAACTTGTCAGGGACATTTTAGAACCAAGACCAGTACTAAGCCAATTTTTATTCCAATAGTCCAAGAAATTGGACCGTAGTGACCCCCTGACACAAATGCACCCTATTAATAAATATCGTTTGGTCCCCAGACGAATTGGAGGGAAGGGATTATAACAGTGTAGGACTTCTCTTGAATCTTGAAGGTTTGCCGAACTTGTTCAGCCTGACTTGCAGCATTTGCGAAGCGATTTGCCTGGGTTGCTGATCGCCCGTTCAGGAGGTCATGCCTCCTTCCGTACAAAATGTTACTTCTGATTTATTCAGAGGACGGTACTACTCGGAGGCATCCTTTAACATTGTTCAGTTCCCCACGCAAAGCGGACCACCCAGTTTGTTGCGGTTCCCCGACGAATCTGATGGTGGCTTCATTTAGAGTGAGAACTGTGCACTGATTTGATGGACACGTGCTTGGACCTGAAATAGGCCTCCGGATTGACATGTAGCCTGCCTTTGGCTTGGTAGGATTCCAGCGATTTTCAGCTGGATTGTCAGTGAAGAGTCACCTGGCCGACCAATTCCGGAAGGAACACCGTTGATCACCATCCCCCCCCCAACGTTCATTGTCCAGAGCCGAACTGGTGAAGTGTATGTGTGTGGCCTTTATTGATGGCAGCTAACGCAAATGCCTGAAGCCCTCCCAAGCCACCACGCACAATCGATTTTCCCCAAACAGAAGCCACAAGAGGGCACATTCGACCCAAAATCAACGCTAGGGCTGAGTCAACCGCCGTGCCTGGCCCGCGATGCAGGAATTCCAAGAGAACGAGCGCGTCTTCGACTTCGGCTCAGTAGGCGAAGTTGGCCGGTCGCCGCTGGCCGCACAGAATTGGGTACTCCCTGTAGAATTAACATGAAACCCAAAAGAGGGGGTCCCCTAAAAAATGCAAGGGGATTCTCCGGGGAGTCGTGTGGCAGTATTTGCAGTGGTGCTTTCAGCTGGACCTGTGCATGGTACGCCGCCTTCCGCTGCCTGTGCAATAATTCTGGCAATCGTGAAGAAGTCATAGAAGCCGGGCCCATTCAGTTCCTGCCCTTGCATCGCAGTCAATCACCGGCCCTCCCGAGTCACTGGATGGACGACCAAGCAACGTTAGAGGCGACCTCCGGCAGACAGATGTTGGAGGAGTTAGCACAATCACATACACGGTTTTTCAGACATTGAGTTTATCACCCTTGTACCATGGTGGAAACAAGGCATAAACAGGACCTAGGTAGAATTGTTGGCATGACATGAAGGGTAGTCGACTATGATTGACAATCGCACACCGGAGCTGTGCGGAAGTGTTCTGACTCCACCCCAGGACTGTCTCAGGACCTTTTCCTCACCATCCCATGGGCATGAGATAGGGCTGAGGCGTAGTGTGGGTAGTCCATGCTTCTGCCCAGAAAAAATCGAACTCGTTCCAATAACTCACGCCCTGAGTTTCTGGACTTTACAAGGTTTTTGGGAAGATGATTAAGCTTGGACTTGTTTGCGCGATCCGCTCATGAAGTAGCGGCTTAGATTGAAACATGTTTGGAACAATGCATTGGCATCAAGGCTGTGGTTTATTGTCATCTGTTTTTTCTACCCAAAAGTGGCAAGAGGATGCAGGAGCTCGCACAGAGGCCGAAAGTACACAAATATGATTTCAATTGCCAAGTGGCAGGCGACAAGCTCTACATTATTTGGAGCGGTCGTGTCCAACTGGAGGCTGGACCTGGGCATTGGCTAAGTCCACAAAAGTGACTCAGGGGTGTGAGCACGCGCTGGCGAGTCGACTTGGTGTGTGCAATGTAAACCAGGAGAACCCCACTTTGTTTGTTTGTTTAACAAAGGGGACGGATAGCTGGCAACTCCTCCTTTTCTTGGTGGACATTTCAGGTAAGAACAGTATCGGCGTCTGGGACTTCCTGCGAGTATGGGGTTGCTCTAGCAATCAGTCAGCTGCCGACCACCTTTGTTGTTGCCAAAAGCGGGAAGCACTCAAGTTTTGTTTTTCAGCCGAGAACCAAACTTATTGCACGTCAATGCCTCAAAACTGGGGACCAGCTCTGAAAGGTGGCTTTTGGCGTATCCCTTTTTCAATTGTACCAAACAGGGCCCCTAGTTTCGATCCATGAAACCAGTTGAGCCACAATCAAAGCTCGGGTAGATGAAGGTTTGTAAGGGGCAGTCCCAGCCAGAAATAGGTGCGGCCGCCTTCTTAATTCTTTACCTGGTTCTGGGTGACCATTTTAATACCGCGTTTTGATTGTGACTCAGTTTGGTTTCATGACATCGCTCACCCAAGGTGCCGCGCGAGAAGACGGAAGCCGGTGACGTCCACTTTGCCCGGGCCCCGGCCTGCGAGGGGCGATTTTTGGCCGAGCGTTGCTACTCAGACACTCGGTGCCGCACCAAAAAAAGCGACCATTGCTTCTTTCCCCATGGGCGCTGGGGGGTGTAGGGATATGCCAAGAACAGACCTAAATAGTTGGAACGGGGCTGTGGGGTGTTATTGAACCAAGTTGCCACATGTTGGGAGAGTAGTTTTGTAATTAGCTCATAATTGCACATAGAGACCCAGTTGGTTGCTTCCGTTTGTAACTTTCGGAGGAGCTTGCGCCATAAATTATAAACTCAAGTACCCATTTTGGAAGACAAAAGGGTGCCTGTTGTTTCCCAGGGCCACTGGAGTGTAGACGGGACATGTACATGTGCCACCGAGTTTCACGATTGGTTTGCAACGCTCCAACCATACAAGCCCACTTCTTATTAGTTGGTGCGGCGTGCAACCACGTACATAAACATGGAATGGTCCAATGATTCCAGTGACCACTATTACAGGCAACCAAGGAAAACTTGTCAAATCTGGGGCCCTGGTTTTTTACAGCGGCGACCCGAATCGCTGCGAATGTTTGGCTGACTGTCCTTGGCACGCGGCAGTTCCAGTGGACTTTCTCGGAGCAAATCCTTGGGCCTAGCTCGGAATGTTGCTTTGGTTTTGCGATGCCAGCGTTGTTTGCACCTGTATGTGTGGAGATGCCTTTGCATCGTGCTATGTAAATATATACAGACCCCCGCCCCGCCACGCGCGAGAAAGAAGCCACAACAGTTAAAAACGCACCTCAAGATAATTCGATGGTATTTACAGTGCCTGTGGGTGATTTCCACCTCCTTTCAGGCACCCCTAGATCTTGAATCTTGAACCCAGTATGGGGTACCCACAAGGCTTTAAAGCGCTTAAAAACGCTTGTGGATCTAAGATGAAAGAATCAAGATCCTCAGGGTCCCAGGACTCTAGATGTTGAATCGTGAATTCTGTATGGCCCCCAAACGCGTTACAGGCTTTCATCCTCATGGATTTAAGATTCAAGAACAAGAGCCCTGGGAATCTTGCATTCTTAATCTTAAATTCAACAGTGATCAAAAGTGCTTTAAATTGGGGGACAACACTGGATTCAAGATTCAGATCAACAGTCCTGGGAATCTTGGGTCTTTCATCTTAGTTCCAAAAGGTCTTCAAAGAGATGTAAAGCGTTTTGGGGGCCCGACACTGGGTTAACGGTTCCAGATCTAGAGTCCAAGGAATATTGAACATTGAATCTTAGTCCCAGCGCTTTAAAGCGTTTGTGTTCAGAATTCCTGTTTGGGCGTGCACCTTATTATCCTGTTGGACTTGTGCGCGGTAAATGCAGTTGATAGTTCAGCATATGGACATTGAAGAATTGCTTCTTTACAAAAGAACTTAACGGAGTCCACACCAACCCTTGGATATTCACGAAAGCTAGCTTTAGCTAGCTGAAGTTTCTCCTTGCGTAAGCAAGGTAAGGGGCTCAAATGCCGAAAGATTGATTTTTTCAATTATTTGAGCCGAAAAGATTGAAAAACATCAATTATTTAGACCCCCCCCCCCCCTCCCCCCCCCCGGGTCTCAGGCTCGATTCCTCCCTGGTCCATCCCCCCCCCCGGGCAGTGGCTCAGTGTTCAGCAGTCTCGGTTTGCCCGTTTTGGACTTGGTGCTACGAACTTTTACATGTTCCACCGATTCAGCTTGTTCATTTGAGACCTCAGTCTTCTCGGTAAACCACCTCGCAAGAATCTTTGCACACGCAGCATGCAGAACCCAGAGGTGCTTTAAGACAGCTTCTGACGCCTCTCGTTGTTTTCATTTTTCAAGGTTTGCCACGCCACCATGTGCGTTTGCGTGTCGCATCCTACGAATCTTGCCGGGCCTCTCGTTGTACACAAGCTACCTATGAATCCACTCTGTCACCGACCCATCTCATGCAACAACTGCTAGCTTTCGTTCACCCGCTCCTCAAGTGAGCAACACTGCAAATACCAGCCAGTGTTTTTCATAAGTATTGGCAGGTTTTGTGCAGGACATATTTCGTACAAGGTTGTTTTTCGTTGCAAACCATGAAACCCACACCTGCTGCTTATGAAACGGAAGTCGGGTCATCTTAGACGGAGTTCTCAGAAATGGGCTTGTTTTACAATTTTGGCAGACTTGCGCAAATGATTCATTAAGACTTTGCCATCCACGTAAATAGTAGTTGCTGCCACTTTCAGAAAAGTTGTTTGTGTCATTCCTCCTCTTGACCCCTGGGTCAATGAATTCATTCATATTATTGTCATAAACTAAATCTATACTAGCACAAGCTAATTTGAACATAGCATCAGAAGTGAAGTTAGGTACAGTGTAAAGACAAAATTAGGTAAAGTGCAATGATACACAGAGTCTAAACAGCACTTCATACATACATCTCTGCAGTTTCAATTGACGGTAACATATCTCTGTGAGGGTACCGGCGCAAGGGTATCGAATACAAAGCAACCAATACCTCTTCTGCTTCGTCTGCGCGTCTTCGATTTCTCATCTGAACAGGTGTGCAAATCCTCTTCGTCTGTCAGATTGCACACCTGTGACAATACCAAAATATCTGCTGCGCATCTTTCATCTCTCATCTCAACTAATCTGCAAATCCCCCGTTTGTCAACTTTTGGAGCTTTTTGCAGAGTCAAGCATTAACATTCCCTTTTGAAGCCCTTTTGGTGAGATGCAGTCTTGCTCTCACACATCTCGTTCACCTTGCTCCGAGTTTTCCATCGGGCTGGTCTACAAGTGTGGTACCCTCCCACCAACGAACATGGAACCCACCGGGGGAGGGTGCTCTCCGGCTGTTCGACCTGAAATGCGAATCCATGCGGGGGGGGTTTGCGGAGAGCGAGCGCACACTGATGAGGCTTGATTCGAATATGTTCCAGCCATCATAGCCAGAGTCATTGCGTCATACACCCCCCCCCTCAAACTGGGGATGGGTGAGACTCAGAGCCCCTTCCAATTGGCAACAGGCTCTTGTTTCCTTTTGACGAAGGCGCAACCATTATAAGTGGAAGTGTGCCTCTGGCCTACGTGCCCCAAAGCCCAATCAAATGAATTAAGAAACCCGGGCTGAACTGTCTTGACTCTTTCCTAATCAAGCCTCAAGACACCCTCCAAGCTTTCCCCAGACCTTATTGTCCAAGACTTTATGAGCCAACCAACGCAAGTGCCAACCAAATATTTGGACTCCTTTTTGTTTCCACATCTTGCCGATGAATCCAAGCTAGAATCTGAAGGAACCCGCAGCTGATGAACGCACCCCATGTCCCAAACCTCCGACCTGAACCAATTCCCAGCCGGCCTCGCGCCTCGCGAATCCCATGGCGTATCCAGCGACGGACGTGGCATCACTGCGGGAGGAGCTGTGCGGCGCTGCGCGCGCCTGCGGCTCCGAGGCTACCCAGTTTTGTTGGGGCCCGTGTGTCATTTGACGGAGACAAAACCGACGCCAACAAAAACGGGTCTGAAGTGGACATGTTTTTGCGACTTAGTTCTAGCTGCAAAGAAACCTGCGCTTTTGCTGTGTATGTGTCCTTTTTTGAGCACGTGTTGGTGTTGTTGTTTTGTTCGAAATCCTGTGCAGTCGGTGTTTTGCAACTTGTGCCTTTTTGACATTCCGTCTGCTGTTCAAGCAATGACCTGCAAGCAGTGGTTTGTTCAGAGGCTGCTCAAGCGGCATACCTGATAGAAGGCTGGCTGACCTCACCCAGCAGGGTTCCAACCTCCAGAATGAAGGTCCTTTCTTGAGGTTGGCAAACAATTGCAATTCACCCAGATAAAGATTGATATTTCAATCCACCAGGTATATATATAGCGTTGCCCGTTGTTTTGATTTTTGAAGCCCAAGCACCCAATTGGCAATGCTGCGCGCACACACACACACAGACCCCTAATCGCGATTGCACATCCCTTTCTCGAGCACTTTGATAGTTTGTGTTTGGATTTGTGTGTTTGTTTGTTGTTTGTGAGTTTGCTTGCTTTGCTTGCTTTGCTTGCTTTGCTTGCTTTGGTTGCTTTGCTTGCTTTGCTTGCTTTGCTTTCCTTTGCTTTGCTTTGCTTTGCTTTGCTTGCTGGCTGGCTTACTGTCGTGCTCTTTTGCTGGCTGGCTGGCTGGCTGGCTGGCTGGCTGGCTGGCTGGCTGGCTGGCTGGCTGGCTGGCTGGCTGGCTGGCTTGCTGGGCTGGCTTGCCGGCTGGCTGGCTTGCTTGCTTGCTCAATATCCATACGCGCTCACATGGAGGCAACACAGGCGTACCTTGCTAGTGACCTTTCTAGGAATCAAGGGTGTGTTCATAAATTTGTGGACTTCACAGCCAGTGCAAGCAGCCACCGGATTGTGAATCTCATTGTGAAATCCCACTGCAGTACCTGAAATGATTGAAGTAAGAGGTGTGTGTGTGTGTGTGTTTTTCCGACCCCTTTTGGGGTCGGTGCAAAGGCGGGCAACCCGAGGGACACTACTCATCTTGGCGTTCCAGGTTCCTACATGGGAGACTTGCTCCAGCAAAGTCACTTAGATTTCGCATTCCCTTGTTCTTTAGGTCTGGTTTGGCTAGCCTATTTCGGGATTCAAGCGATCTTCCTAGGTTGTTTAAAGTCAATCCTGAATCCTTATGCGAGATGATAGTGGTTTCCCCTCTTGTGGTGGTGTGGTCCCACTACGAAATCCGGATGGCGGGTTAGGAGTAAAGATCTCCCAAACTTTGAAACAACCCAATCAGGTGTTCGCTTGATTCCTTCCTGTTTCCCTTGCTGGTTGGTGGATTCAGTTTATCCAGTACACTTGGAATCAAACCCAAAAAGATCCAAAAAGGGTTTGCTCAGGTGTAGTCCCCTGACCGTAACAATGATCCTGCCTCCAGTCGTACGCGCAACGCGGGTCTGCTCTAGGTGAAGTTGCGGAGAGCCCTGGCGGCTCTCAAAGAGACGCAGCTCCCATGCCCGGGCGCCGGCGGGCCTGAG